CAGGATCGTTCCAACTCAATCTTTATTTCTTTTAACTTTTTCTTCAAGATGAACATAATAACATGAATTTAACTATATCCTTTTTTTTATATACTTTATGTAAAAGAACTACACTGTGTTGGGAGTAAAACACGATAATCACTATCATCATACTTTCCATTATGTTCATACTTTTCATAGCATTTGAATAATAAAACAAAAAAGATCATGATAGCTCTTGCCTGATATTACATTATTCATACGATATTCAGCAGACGGGAGAGAGGCAGAACCAACTCATTCAAACATCCCTGAATTTTTTTTATAGACATTTGTAGAAATGGCTTTAAGAAAACAATTCAGTTCAATAACATAAATTGGCTAACGATATGTAAATGAAGTGCATGTTATTAGAAAGTGATGGAAGAAAGGTTACAAGACCCATGGATGTTTAGGAAAATATAAAATAGATGGAAAAAACAAATCAACAACCCTTTGAATGTGGAGGGCACAATTTTGCGTCATGGCTGCAGTGGATCGAGGCGCCAATGGCACAGCATTAGTTCATCAGAGAGAGCTCGTCTTTCTCCTATAGAAGTGGCATCATTTGTTCTATTTGACTATTAGATATGGGCAGCAATTTTTTCATATATTTTATAATGTGCTCCAGCTACAAGCAATCAGGTGCCCAATTTTGCAGTTAGAATACCAAACAAGCTGGGCAGAGATGGGGAAACTAACAATGCATGCCAACAACTCCCATGTTACTAGCCACATGCCAATTCTGAATACTGCAGCCAGTGCATTAATAAAATACTTTTCCAGAAAAGAGATGCAAGTCAAATTAAATGAACTTAATAGCTTGAAACAGGAATGCGTTTGCTTTGGTTCAACATGTTTTGTATATACTGGCAAGTTTTATGGATTATATATAGTTGGTTTAGATGGATCTTCAGAACCTGTACTGCTTCTAATGCACTTTAAAATATAAATTATCTGATCTACAAAGTCCACATTGTTCATAAATCTTCCCATTCTGTTATATCTATTACCTTTTCATGCTTTCTTTTGATTCCAATATCCAGTAAAACTGATAAATTCATTCATTCCTTAAACATGAAATCATGGTACCTGGGCAGAGCATTGCATTTATTGCATATAAATTACACTTTTGATATATGGGACCTAGGATACCTTATTAAAATCCTCATTATTGCATCATCTGAAAAGGAATGTACAAAATTTTAAAAACTAAGATTAGCACTGATGTTTAAACCTCATTAAAGAATTGAAAGAGCCGCTGCTACATCCTTACGTCTAATCTTATAGTGCTTTATGTAAACAGTGAATTACTTAGGAAATATTCTATTACTTAGTAAATAGTCAACTCTACTGACCAAAACTTCTATTGACTTTTTGTTTTTTGTTGTGGATGGCTGTTATTAAAAACTTTTGAATAAAAAAGAAATCTGTGATATACACATATGCCGCTTCACACACACAGAACCAAGGATACATACAAACACAGACAGAGACACAACCACGGAGATGCTTAACAGACAGACAGATAGACAGTCATACACATATACATGCATACACACACTCTCCCATGCAAATATAACCATACACTTAAGCACACACCAGTAAACCTATGAAAACTTACTTGTATATAGGAAATACTCACCAGATGCTTCACAAGCCCACAATATAATACAAAGAATTTTGATGAACAGCTTGCAATTTGAGAAAATCCTTAACCTAAACCCTGAATTTTTGTTCTTCTAATCTTTATTACTGATATATAAAGTATCCTGTGTTGTTGCTGATATCCATGACTTCATGAAACAATTCATAAATCAGGAAAATTTTCTAAAAAGAAACCACTTTCTGGCTGCATAAAAACTAAGGCAAAATATAATGGACAAACTCTAAAATTAGACCATATTTATCAAGACAAATTTACCAAGAACACTATAGAACCATAAAGTAAATTGAGGTTAGATTATTTTTTTCTTTCTTTCTTTTTTTCTAATTTTTACTATAAAAAATTACACAATTTACAAAGCAATTTTACAGGCTAAAACACAATGAACACTCATTAAACAAAAAATAAAAGGATTTTTCTTTTATTTATCAATATTATTTCCATTAGTAATAATACTATCATAACAATCATTGGTTTTGATAATGGTTTCAAATATTTCCCATTATATACTAAAACACAATGGTACAATGAAACTGAAAAATAAATTATAGCTAAGATTTTTAAAATCAAAATTATAATGGAAGTATTTAGCACTTCAAAAAGCATGGGTTTTGTCTATTTTGGAAAAGGAGAATAAAATGTAAAATATTAAGAAAGGAAAATTTTCATTTTGAGCATGTAAGCTTAACACTGCATCAGCAAACTAGAGCTAATTCAGCAAAGAGAGACTACGGCAATCTAAAATAATGACTTGGATGTTTCATAAGGGTGATACATTTTACAGTACTGGTGAATGCATCTAGTTTACAAGCCTCAATCTGTGGCAGCTAAGTTTTCTATGGAAGGATTATATAATACATATTCCTTCACCTCCTAGTAGCATAGAAGGGAACAAAAGGTAGTAAGAAAAATAATCTAAGAAAAAAAAAAGGAAGTCGATGGATAACATAGAGTATATAATCTTCATTACCTTACTTTTACACTCAGGTTACTGTAACAAAATAATCTTACACAAGAAAAAAATATGTACAACTGATTTTGCTTTGTATTTACAAAGTACTGAGATCTGCACACAGCATCCTAACCTATATTTGAGACCCAGAATCCACATTTGAAAATCACAGACAGTTGCAGCTGTGTTTTCAACATTTTCATGTTGTAAAGACAAAATACAGCTTCAAATATTCATAAAATATTTTCCAATATTCTTAATACCCACTGAGAGCTGCTATTATTCCCTGACTGCCTGTAGCTTTCAAATGATGTGGTCTGGTTCTCTCCCTTCCTTACTTAAGAATGGCCAAATATTCTGGATGGTACCAATATAAATGTCAAACCCTTAAGAGTTAGCATTAGATGCAAAATGTTTAATTCACAACTCTATCCTACAGGCATATATATGCAAACTCATGCACACACACTCTCCACAACCACAACCATAGTCACACTCATATTCATTCCCAGACCCACACCCAACCTACATACACTGATACATACACATACATGTATATACACACATTTACTTTTATATTCATACTTATACTCATACACAAGCACACACTCCCATACAAAAAAATATATGTAAATATACACCAAACACTGCACACTTGTTTTCTTTTTTTATTTTTGTTTTTTGCTTTAATGGCATTATTCCATTCAAAGTTCA